CCCCCCCCCCCCCCCCCCCCCCCCCCCCCCCCCCCCCCCCCCCCCCCCCCCCCCTGTCAGGCGATGGGTTATCCGCCATCGCTTGGATTGGCTGTGTCGGACTTATGAGTATGCTTATTCGCTGACTGAGAGTACAACGATGGATCTAGTGACCTAGATCGCTCTAGTATGCCTTGCAGGACTGACAGCGCTTCCTGCACTCGTGCGACGTGGACTCAAAGCAAAAGAGTAGGCAGACAATCCGGGGTCATCCCGGATACCCCTCAGGGCGACATCAGATCGTTTTGCGACACGTTGGACCTGCTAACACATAGCGTGCGCCGAGACAAATCGACATTTCTTCCTGAGGCCGCCCCTTCGAGTCCGGAATGCCGGTATGAGCGCGCCCCGCCATGCGCAGCAGAGACGGTCATTCGTCCACGTAGGTTGGAGGACCGGTGAAGGAGAAGGCAACTAGTCGCCAGCTAATTGCGAAAGCGAGGCAACCACTGCCGTCAGCTTGGGTTGGGCGGCATCCGTTCCGACAGCTACTTTGCAAAGACATCACTCGCCTCGAAATTTCAATGGCAATGAGTTGTCCACGACACAAGGCAGGCATGAGTTGTCGTGTCCGAAGTGTCTCTTCGAAGACAGCGGCTCCTTGTGCCCTCTCAACAGTTAGTTCGGTGGTCCTGATGTGACTCGTTAAAATCGTTGGCTACCCGGCTCCTGGGATTTCCATGTACTTACAACCGTACGCCTCATACTTTGTAATCTGACCTGACCTACTGAGCTTGAACCGACTGCTAGGTAGACCAGGCCTACGATGCGGCCATGATGCCTGCACGGAGACAACAACCGTACAGATGGTCTCCCGATATTGGTGGTATGGTTAGTAGAGCGACGCAAACCTCATGGTGGTAGTGATCGTGCTAAAGCATATGCAGCATAGTCCAGATGGGTACGACCGAGACGAGACGTACGACGACCCAGGCTTCCATGAAGAGCACACACTCGGAGAAGACTACCATCCCGACTCATTACCATCAGCAGAGTACGCTTTGAACCTCTGGTCGCCGTCTCTATATCAAGCTGCGCAGTATGCGTATCCGGCCTCTCTGCCGTTGAGGCAACTTCACAATATTCCCTCTGTAGATCGCGAGACACCGCCTGGAGAGTCATGGCAATCACCGAACACAGTCGTTCCCTCGCACCGAGAGGACAACCAGAGCCATGTGCAGTCATGGATGAACGGTATGAGTCAACTACACCGTGGGAGCGTATTCGAAATGAGTCCCCTAGATCGTGGATCAAGCTCGACGTTAGACGACGCTGGGCCTCCAGTTTCCGGCGATGGCAAGGCACATGGTTGTACCAAACCAAAAGCGGCTAAGTAAGCAGCCCGTCTTACCTCCTTAACGACCGTTATTGACTTGCCCACAGCAAGAAGACAAGTCTACGCTGCCTGATATGCGCAGACGGCACCTCCTTTACAGGACAGTACGCGCAGCGGAACTTGAACCGCCACATGGAAAAGCATAACTCGTGCGGCGGGGCCAGTAGTCGAAGGCATATCCGTTGCGGGCAACCAGGATGCACGTCGGCATTTGGACGAGAAGATGCACTGCTCGTCCACCTCAGGCGAAGCCATCCAGAGCTGAACACGCCGCCTGCGAAGAAGCGCAAAAGAGACGAGTAGACCAAAAGATGCGACTAAAATCTTCTTCATTGGATTCTTCACAGGCGTTACAATCGGGGTCTTCTTTCGGATCCGCGAGTCCCTTTCAATGCGTTCTTTAGGACTTTGGTCTTGCATCTCAGCGCCGAGGCACAAATATGCGTGCTTATAGATTCTGCAGGATCGTTGGTCATTCGTACTACCACTCTGTAATCCCACGTTGTTAGAATAAAGTTAGCGTAACGTTGCTTCTTGATTGTCGACTGATGGTACGACCAGCGCACTTGACACCACTTGATACATCTGTTGTGTAAGAAGGTCTTCCCTTGGGCTGTGTATCATAGCTTGCGAAACTGCATGCCGAAAACCTCGATAGCGGATATACGAACGGTCTCGCAGCATATCAATGAGTCTTCGAACGAGACATACCCATACCATCCGCGTGGCTTGACATCGTTCCGTGCTGGTGCTGCGGAGAGGCCTTGCCCACCTTCGGGCAGTGCGATGACGTATGCTGATGGTCGGACAGCGTGTGCAAGGTTCCAAGTCCATCTCGCCATGTACTACGAGCAACTTTAGAGTATCATGGTTCGTAAGTTTGCTGATATCCCCTCAAGCTCTACATGCAGTGCATCACGTTGCGTGCATGGATGATTCGTCTTCCCATGCATTTACTGCCCAATGTGGCGAGGGCGCAGCCTCGGGCCAGAAGGCCGCCAAATCCTCCGACGCATTGACAGCTTCAATGACTTGATCGGTGAGCATGGCTGGTTGAGGCGCCATCTTCAGAGCATTCGACATTCGCAGGCGCTGCATTTGAAGAAGCTCCCAGACGGTGCAGCTTGCAGAGAAGGCAAACTTGCATGTCCACGATTGCATAGCTTCACCGCTTTTTCTTGCGCGAAGTCCTTTGCATGCGCACCCCGACACAATTTACCGCAGGCTATGGACTTCGAATGTGGGGGCTCTTTTGGTAGGTGAGAACCATCGGAGAAAGGCCAAGAGTAATGCAGCCATGTTGCTACTGCTCGTGTGTGTAATCCTTTCGACCAGTGTCGATCAGTGCGCGCAGAGTATGCATGCACATATCGCACTATTTAGAAAGAACCCTGTTCGCTTTAGTGCCATTTTTTCGAATAGCTGCACGCAGCTGTGATCAAAAGCGCGACGAGATGTGATTCGGGCCGTCATACATTCTTCGACCTAAGCCTCAGGTGTATGTACGCTCCCGCTTCCCAAACCTTGTTTGCCGCGGGTCGTGTGGCTATGCAGCCATCTTCGTCATCGCCCTAGTAGCACGGCAAATCGAAACGTCGGTGTATGGTAGAGCGTAAAGAGTTTCTTTGTTCCGCAGGCCCGGGTCGCACCCACTACTATGGAGCCAAGTAGCCGGGTATACCTTTCGCGGCGGCAGTGAAAGAGACTGTTTCAATGGGTTGACTGTTTCCCAGAAGGGCACCCCTCTCGTTCCTCCTTTTCTGGATCCTCGTAGTTCCTTGCACCATAGTAGCGACCCTAGTGGGACAGTGAATGTAAGCACATGGGTCCAGAAATGTATTCGCCTGCTGTGCCTCGAAGTGACGCCTTTGCCGACAGACAGTGAATGCAAACATGCTTCATCATGCGGGAAGTTGCTCCCTGCGAATGGGAAAGGTCTCGGGCCGGCCGTGCTGATCGGTTAGGCACGATTGTGCGAGAACGTGTTCCACTAATAGCCGGTGCTGCGCCGGTCACGAGCCGTCCCGTCAACCCACTCTCTTTTTCGAAAAGACCGTCCTCGATACTGCAATATGCGTACCTGATCGGGAGAGCCCTTGATAGACGCTAGATGTTGGCGAAACGCCATGCGGCTTGGTATTCGTCACAGTGCCGCTGCAAGTAAGACGCGCAGATGGCAGGCATGGGCGACCGAGGCTAGAACGTATATTATACTCGTCCGTTCCGCCCGTCCTGGGCCCTGTTGCCTATATCCGCGATATGACCATCAGATCTTGTACTAGCCTGACATTCCATTACGGCTATCCAGTCAAGAAGGTGCTAAGACGAGCATTCAAGGGCTAGAATACAGCTGGATATGCTTGTCGATTGGACTCGTATGAGCATTGGCCTTGTCAATGCGCTTTGAGCCTTAGTGGCGGGAAACCGATGGTCTACGCCTAGTGTTCAGAGATAAACGACTATGCGCGCACATGGCTTCAGGGTAGCCCGGCAGAAAATAAGCGTATATGCTTTTCTTGGTATATCTGCCTGCTTCTTGGGGTGGTCTTTGAGGATAAGCGTCCCGCTGCAGCAGCCGCAGCCGCAGTACACATTGAGCGACAAGGCCCATCGCATAAAGACCAACAGGTGTCATGTGCTGTGCCGCATCTGGTGCTACTGTTGCGTATCTGATTGGTGTACTGTAAACTAACGAATGTCGCACAATCCCTTGCCGTTTAAGTTGAGACGCAGATACGTCGACAGGGCTGATCCGCGTTCCGGTTCGACACTCGAACACGCGGTGAGGCGCGACATGCCCTGGCGTCGACTTTGCCGACTGTCGTGTCTCAGCTCAGGGTCCTCCATCGGCTCCAGCGCGTCTTCTTCCCCAATCGAATCGGTCGCCGTTGGATACGGATAGCGGCATAAACACTGTGCGGACCCCAGGTCACTAACGAAATCGCTCCTGCGTTCATTCTGTTTCTTTGCATCTGGAAGACTCTGGTTTGTAAGACTGGTTCTCTGTGGGGTAGTCTTTCGTTGAAGCGTGATAAAACTGACGGAGACATAGCGCACGGAGGTGCTTCGCTGAACACAGTACAATTTGGAGGCCTTCGGACGAAATTCGCGTCACCTCATGGGCGTCGTCAAGATCTTTCTCTTGAAAAGATCATTCCTTTTCATATCTCTTCGTGGCCAAACCCTGCTCCACTTTGGTCCGGGACGTTGTTGGGTAGCTTTGGCCGCATGGCGTACGATCAGACGCAGGGTGGCGACGAGGGCTCGTGGTCGCAGCGAAGCGATTCTTATAGAAGAAGAGCCCCGTTCCCAGCGACAGTAGTTTGCGATACTGGAGCTGAGCAGACTTTGAGAGTAACCGCATCTTCATCCGGATTCGGCGGATATCCTCAGCGCTGGGTGCCGGTATCGCCTGAATATCCCCAGCCTTATGGAATCCACTATCCCAACAGTGGTTACCAACAACCTCTGTCGCCAGGACACAATACCGTCGAGAGTAGTGCATATCAAAGTCATACTGACGCAGTAAGCGCTCCGCAGAGTAGTCCCATCGCGCAATTTGAGTATACACCACCGAACCCCTTCCCTGGTGGGCCCCGGTATGTGTCTGGATAAACTCCAATATCGCCCGCGCGCTGACTGAGTAACAGCTACGTAAGTACCTATCCACCAATAGGATACAATACACATCAAGGATACCATGCCATGGGAACGACCCAAGCGCCTTTGACGACCTCCATGAGTGCTAGCTAGTATGTGGTCTCCTCAAAGTTCGTTCGCTTATGCTGATGTTGCTGTGAAGCCAGGGCCCAACATATCCTTACGTGGCTCCGGCATCGAGCGTACCGGCGTCGCCTCCTACTGCCATATACCCGATACCGCCGATACAGGTTCCTGAAGGATCCCACATCGACGCCGAGTATAGCGTACCGTGCCCGTATCGCTGCGGAACCGTTCTGACAGGTGTACATGCGCTGGGAAACCTAACGCGTCACCTCAAAACCCAGGCTTGCGCAGGGTCCAGTCGGGCCAAGGTTCGTTATCCATGCCCCATCGACGGATGTGGAAGACAGTACGCTCGTTCGGATGGGTTGAGAGTGCATATGCGCAGACGGCATGGTGCGCCTCCGCCTGTGCCGAGGACCGATGGCGTCGTTGATGAGGATGAAGACTGAACGAGTTTCTGGCGGTGCCGTCTGTGTGGAGGGTTAAGTCGGCCCGATACAGCCATTTACGAAGGAGACATTTTGTATGCTCGCTGGTCGTAGCTCTTTCATTATCCGTCTCTTTTGTGTGTTCATCTGTCAATTTTGACTCTTTCTGTTATATCGTCGTTATCTTGGAGGGTTTGCTGCGCGCATATGTCGGTGTTGATGACGGAAAGAGCAATCATGCGGTCTACGTAATCGGTAAAGGTCATGGTCGTTAGGTGCGCTTTCCGCCGGAGACCCGCAAGAAGGCACTCATGTCGGGGCGTTCGTCATCGGCAAGAGTTATAGAACAATGGTAGAATATGGCAGACTCAGTTGGGGCCCACCATGACTGGCGTGAAGCGATGGGTGAAGTGACGATGGTTCTCGGGGAAAGTAGAAACGGCGTCTGAGGTTCACGGCAGGGGCACTGAGTCGTCAGGCAGCCCAACGGGAAGGATCACCCGGTCGTCTTGGGCAAGAGCGGTTAGTCCACGAGTCGCAGATGATCGTGAATCCAGTTTCAGCTGCTCCTCATCACCCTGGAAGCGGAACGTCACAGGCGTTTTTGCAACTGCTATCCGAAGCATCCCATGGTCATTCTACCCGATAGTCATACGTTATCAATTCGACTCTGCGCACGGATGAATCACGCCTTTCGCTGCTGAGGTCATCCGTCTTGTCTCCCATGTTGGTGGAGTAAGACTGGACCAGGGTGGATGCCATTTGCGCAAGAGCAAGTGACAGCGTCTCGCATCGTCATACAGTACCACGTATCTGACGTCAATACAATACGTATTGAGCGCATGAA